AAGGAAGGAAGGAAAGAATGAAAGGAAGAAAGGAAGAAAGAAAGAAGGAAAGAAGCAGTACAATATCAAAGAATAGAAAACAAAATAAAATTAGAAAGATAAAAAATATATTAGGAAAAATAAAACTATAATTGAAACAACCAGTCGTTCGGGGTTCCTCCCATCCCCTTTGGTGTCCGTGGTCCCCCACCGGTGCCTGGTAGGTGCCCTGGCTGTGCAGAGACGCGAATTCCGCGGCCTCCTAGTACTCCATCTTCTCCTGCTAGTTTTTCACCAAAAAACCCCTTCCACTTTATCCCTACAGCCAAACCACATTTCCCGGCCTCTCTGGAAGTCGCACAACCCAGCTGCATGCAGGGAGAAGCTGCAGCCCTACGCACAGGCTAGGCCCCACCGGCACGAGCCTCCGTCCACCGGAACACCAAGAGAGGGCGCTTAGTGGAAAGCACTGGTCACCTGAGCTGCTACCCAGTAGGGGTCACCTGACCAGCAGCACTGGGCTGGAGTGGTGAAAAGCAGGAAACGAACTTCTACCGTGTCAGGCACTGAAACGTGAGATTATTTGCAAAAGCCCGCCCAGACGCACCAGAACACGGCATGCAGGTGGTCCACGGTGACGGAGCATCTGGTTAAACTCCACTTTGTGATGACCTGGAAGGCAGACCCCTCTCTCTGATCCTGCAGCCCTCAAGGAAATGATGGGAAAGAACCAGCACTGGTAGCCCACACTTAAAGTTGGCTCAAGCAAGCAGAAACGAGTGGAAACAAAGTATCCAGAAGCCTGGGGGCTTCAGGGAGGCAAACTGGAATGGGTTGCCCCTCAAAGCTCCAAAGAGACCAGGGACCATCTAGACTCCGCCTTCCCGGGAAGGTCAGGTCAAGGATGGTTACCTTCCCACTCAAGCCTTTAGTTCCACATAACCTCCAGGTCTCAGCCATTCAGTTTCAAGAGAGACAAGAGAGCAAGTACGCACAAAGAAAAGAAAAAGTCGGGCTTGAACAGCACACCCGGCGGGACTGAGGTAGAGCTGCCGGCTGGCAGGCGGAGCTGACAGGACGAACAGAGCCAGGAGCCCACGTGCTCCTGGGAGAGCCAGGAGGCCAGAGCAAGGGCACAGCAGGCACGACGGCTGACTGCTTAGGACTGAGCGTCTCTGGGCCCCCGTCTGCACGGCTGCAGGAGGGGGACCACGGCAGCCCCCTCCTCACAGACCACTTTACACGAGGCCATGGAGGGGAAGGTCTGAGGGGAGGACCAAAGGCTTCAGAAAACAGCCGTCCCGTCCCCAGGCAGCAGAGTCAGGGTCCACTTGGGAAACTCCTCCAACACCCACTCCACCCGATTTCAGCACTGCTATGGCCCTGTCTCCCTTAGGAAGGGGAGAGTCTCTGGAGGGGGAGCAGTTCATGGGTCACTGGGCCCTGAGGAACCACGTCCGGGGCTGACGGGGAGAGCAGTGCATGCTGGGAGTCCTCTGTGTCCCGCTGGACGCCCCGCCCAGGTTGTGCCCCGGGGAGGTGGGTTCTGCTTGTGGGCTCGGAGCCGAAGCGGACTTCTGGCTTTAGTCAGATAACGGAGGCTGCCCCTGTTCCCCGAGCCATTCCCTTCCCTTCTGGAAACTACAAGACGCAGCTTCCTTGGAGCTAAGTGCCACCACGCGGTTGAGTTCTGGCCAGGGCAGCAGGGGCAGGGAGTATGTGGGATAAGCCATGTAGGCCACTTACAAGCCCAGCCCAGAAAACCCTCCCACCTGACTCTCTTCCCTCCCCCCACCCCCTGGCTAGGTGGAGAGGCCTTGGAGGGCCTACTGAGGAGGGAACCACCAGGGGAGAGATGCTGAGGAGTGACATCCGGCCTGAACAGCCACAAGGACCCTGTAGGCAGGGAGCATGCTATTATCTGTCAGGGTCCTGTGCTTCTGCACTAGTCTACCCACACCGACAGAAATCATTTAACCCTTTTCAATTACAAAAGCAATACAATGCAAAATATTTAAACAATGCAAAAATAATAGAGTTGGCCTTTCCCTCCCTACCACCCCTCCTTGCTGTGTCTTCCCCCGAGGAAAATCAATGTAAGAGTCCAGTATGCGCATCACAGGAACAAGTCTGAGAGGACACACTACAGTTAGTTTTAATAAGGTTCTCGTGTATCTCAGGCTACAGAAGAAGCACCTTAGGAAAATCTGGAGACAGTGGCTGCTAGAGAGACCATTGTTTTAAAGTTAAGTCAGTAAATCCCAGACAGCTAGAGGCTGTATATTCAAGACCCTTTCACTGATACAGCAGAGCATGTAAATTGCACAAAATTAGAAAATCCAGACTAGAAAAAAAAACAAGGGGCACCACTGTTAAAACCTTGCGCATCTCCTTTTTTTTTTCATTTGTATAAATGTGTATATGTATATTTTTTAGAAAGAGAAAACTACTCCACTTTGAGTAAAAAAGATCATAATCTTTCTCTTTTAGCAGCTAAGCCAGCCAGAGATGTGCCAATTTATTCTTGAGTTAGGAAAACACAGTGTGGTAGTCAGACAGCAGGTTGAGTGCCCATAGGCACCATAATTAAAGTACCCTTAATGGCTTACTTTGTAGCAAAAGAAAATATAAAGTTCTACACATTCGCCAGAACCAAAGACAGGTTCTAATTCTAGCTACTTTGAGGACAGAACTAGTATAAAAATGGAGTAATGGCTGATCACGGAGGTATGGGAACACTACCAAATTATACTCAGGCATTCCCGTGACTTTAAGTCCTTTCCTAAGTTATTAAACACTTTAAAAGGTATTACTACT